GCTTTCCGATATTTGAATCTAATCAGGTAAACACTATTTTATTTATATCATCGAAAAGATATTTATGCTTTTCCCTCGACAAGAATTTTGCGGGCTCAGAAAATACGACGAGCTCCCGCCGAACAGATTAATCAATCACCAATCAGGCTTCCCACTGCGCCTGATAGGCTGGAGGGGCAACTGTTGGACCAGGATTTGTCACCGAATCCGGCCCGTTAACTGGCCCATCAAAACCGATCTCGAAGGATGTCCACATTCCGAATGCAAGGCCCAACAAAAAAAAGGAAGGATAAGAAGAGAACGGTTCAAAAGGATGACGCGAGATCCGGAGCTCGTGCAGGATACGGATCGTGAGATACGCGCTGAAGTTAACGAAGTGGGAAGAATATTTAAGGAAAATATAGACGAACTAAAGTAGATTATTCACTCTACGAGCTCTTGCACCAAACTACATTGATCTCTTGTAAACGGTCACTTGATTCAATCAATAAAAGTCCATTTATCTATTCTCGATCTTAAGTTCAGTTGCTCAAATAGAGATTATTACCCATTGTTTTCCTAATATCATCTAAACACTTCATAAATCTTTGAGTGTGGATATCTACATCCACAGTGACCGGATTAGTTGAGACTTTTTACAGGAAACATTGGAGGCTGCGGGTTTGTCTGAATGGTGGGTGAGTAGAATCATGGCGGGAGTAACAGGCCCATCAATGTGCCTATTGTGGAATGGAGAGAAGATAAGGCTTTTCAAACTGGCTCGGGGGTTAAGGCAAGGGGACCCATTGTCGCCGTATTTGTTTGTACTTTGCCTGGAAAGGTTGTGTCATCAGATTGAGGTATCGGCTGGGAAGGGGGATTGGAGACCGATTAGTCTCTCACGTGGGGGTCCAAAACTGTCACATGTATGCTTTGCGGACGACCTGATATTATTCACAGAGGCGTTAGTGGCACATATTTGAGTTATTAGACGAGTGCTGGAAAGCTTCTGTCTCGCATCAGGTCAAAAAGTAAGTCTTAAGAAATCAAAAATATTTTTCTCAAAGAATGTTAGCAGAGACATGGAAAGAATGATCACAACAGAGAGTGGGATTGGATCAACTAGGGAGCTCGGCAAGTATTTTAGGATATCTGTTTTACATAAGAGAGTTAACAAGGAGACATTTGGAGAGGTGTTGGAATGAGTCTCATCTAGACTCGCGGGCTGGTAGAGTCAAACTTTGAGTTTGGTAGGGAGGTTAACATTAACGAAAGCAGTACTGTCAGCGATACTGGTGCATTCCATGAGTACTGTCCTCCTGTCTGCATCAGTCTTGGAGGGTTTAGATAAGCTTTAGAGAATATTTATGTGGGGTAATACAAGGGAGAAAAAGAATATACACCTGTTATCATGGAAGAAGGTGTGTACACCAAAGGTGGAGGGAGGTTTAGGTTTGAGACAGGCGCGAGACATGAATAGAGCCCTGCTTGCAAATATGGGATGGTGCTTGTTAAATTATAATGGGAGCTTATGGCAAGGATTCTGAGGAGTAAGTATAAGGTGGGGGAGGTTCAGAACTGTTCTTGGATGGTACCTAAGAGCACATGGTCCTTGACGTGTCGCAGTGTGGGGGTTGGGATACGGGAAGTGGTTATGCAGGGCATAGGCTGGGTTCCTGGAGATGAGAAAACTATTCAGTTCTGGGTAGATAAGTGGTTACTGGATGAGCCGCTCTTAACGCGGGTGATAGATCCAATACTGCAAGACGAAATGGTGAAACGTGTAGAGGAATATTGGGGAGAGGGAGTGGGCTGAGATTTGCCGAGACTGAGCCAATATCTTCCGGTGGATATAACACAATGATTGCTTGCTGTGGTGATAAAAGGGGCGCTGGGTGTGCAGGATAATGTGTCATGGCGGGGGACGGCGGATGGAGAGTTCACTGTACGGTATGCTTATGCTCTGTTACAACGGAATGTGGAAGCCAGGCCATGTATGGAAATTTTTTTCGGGAGAGTGTGGGGTGTCTTTGCACCAGAGGGAGTTCGTGTTTTCCTCTGGTTAGTTGGATATCAAAGAATAATGACAAATGCAGAGAGGGTAAGACACCATTTAGGCGAAACATAGATTTGTCAAATCTGTTGCGGCGGGTGGAGTCTATCATACACGTACTGCGTGACTGTCCAGCAATGATAGGAATTTGGAGAAGATTGGTTCCACCGAGGAGGCAGCAGGAATTTTTTGCAAAACCCCTGCTAGACTGGTTGTTTGATAACTTGGGGGTTGGCTCGAATAATATGAGGGATGATTGGCCAACTTTGTTTAGTATGGAAGTTTGGTGGGGATGGAAGTGGAGGTGTAGTGATGTGTTTGGAGAGAGACGGACTTGTTGGGATAGGGTAAGGTTTGTGAAAGAGACATCGGGGGAACTATGGCATGCCCATATGAAGGTACGAAATGAACCCCGGAAGACGGGAACAGGGGTGAGACATATTAGATGGTTGGAGCCGCACGTCAGGTGGGTAAAACTTACCACATATGGGGCGTCTCGGGGGAACCCAGGTATGGCAGCAGCTGGAGGAGTTATCAAGGATGGTGATGGGGCATGGTTAGGAAGATTTGCACTTCACATAGGGATATGCTCAGCTCCGTTGTCAGAGCTATGGGGGCGTATTATGGGCTGGTTATTGCGTGGGAGAGGGGTTTTCGGAGAGTAGAGTTAGAGTTGGACTCGGCGTTGGTGGTTGGTTTTTTACAGTCAGGGATTAGCGATGTTCATCCGTTGGCATTCCTAGTACGTCTGTGCCAAGGTTTCTTATCAAGAGACTAGTTAGTCCGGGTGTCTTATGTGTATAGGAAGGCTAATCGTCTATTTGACAAATTAGCGAGCTATGCGTTTATGCTAGATTTAGGATTTCATTCTTTTGATTCTTATCCGGCGATAATTTATTCGATCATGTTAGATGATGCGGATGGGTGGAGTTCCCATGCAATATTTGATTGTAATTCTTTTCAGACTAATTAATAAATTGTAGGAGACAATTGTCTTCCCTCCCCAACAAAAAGAAAAAAACTAATTTCCTTCAAATGTGTTACTCTCCTATTTTGTAGAGTACAAATTTTAGAAGAATAAGACTTAATTTTCTCCAATTTAATAGGATCCAATTTAATTTGGAAGAATATTTATTACTCTTAAATAATATAATTTTAGAAAAATCTAAAAAAAATATATTATATATCTCTATTTTATTCCTTTCAAGTATTTACCATTTGCAACCTTAATATAATCAATTTGCAAAAAAAAAAAAAATCTGATTTATTTTCATCAACAATTTTAACACTAATTTTCTTTCTATTCCGTTAAATGTTTTATATTCCATTAAATACTTTTCGTTGATTAAATTCTTATATTGAATTAACAAGCGATTCATCATTTCGTTAAGATTTTTTGTTTCAGAAATTTGAAACTAAATTAGCCGATTTAACCTGATTTTTTTGTTTGATCTTTCATTTCTTTCTTCTGAACAGCTTTTTTTTTTGGAGGCTAAAGACCTCGGAACAATATTTCTCTCAATGATTTTCATCTGCATAAATCCAGCATCTCGTTTTTCCTCTAAAATATTCCCATTAACCATGTGAAGCAAAACAAAACACTTGTGTGAACTAGAGACCACGTGTGTATATATATATGTACGACCGCATTGATTTTAAAAACTTTCCAGTTTTAAACATTTTCTAATGAATTAATTCCACAATCCTATTTTCTAAAGAATAACTAGTTGTAGAAAATAAATAAAGAAGAAGATGACGCCAACGAGACATGTCAATTTTTTTTCTTGGAAGAAAGAGGTACGTTGATTCACAAAAGGGTCTTTTGGTGTAAAGAGGCAGCATTGACTTTGTAACTCAAAAAGTCGTCTAGATTTTTAATCATCATATGTTTTAAAAACGTAACAAAATTAATATCGAACGGTGATCATTATAAAAACATGGCTAAGTAGTATAGTAATTGTAGCACACATTTACAATATGTTTAAGCTAAACCAACAAAAAGTAGAGAAATTGAATCATATAATCATATAAAACTGAAAAATAAACAAACTAACTATAAAAATTAATGATTATAATATTTTGTATATATTCTAAGATATATATAAAATTATTCATTTTCTAACTTTTTTTTCTCTCCTATTTTTTTTTATTTCCTCTTTTCATTCTCTTTCTGTTTTCTCCTCTCTCTTCTTTCTTTTCCTTCTCCTTCTCCTCTGGTCTTCTCCCCTACCCTCCTTCATCCTTTATTATTTTCTCTTCTTTTCTATACAATTCATAAGAAACAAATATTTTATATATAGTATAGTATGGTAATATAAATTGATATAGTATATTATAATAATATATTTACCAATTTGTTTGAAAGGCAAAAGAAACAAATTTTAGAGTTTTTGATTATTAAATTAATTATAAAATTAATATAATTATATTTTTTATTTTATTTAAAGTGTAATATAGTTATTTCATAAATTAACCCAAGAAAATATAGAGCAGTGGTTAAATACCTTTTATCTGATTATGCAGTAATAATTTATTACTAATCTTTAGACCCACAGCTTATCTCCAGACAAAGAAATGTCCAATCCTAAAACAAAAATTATTAATCACATCTTTAAGAGGAAACATTGTAACATGCAACACCAGATTTTAATTTTAGCCGCCTTTAACGGTGACGGCGTTGAGTGTTTTTCACACCAAAACTATTTTACAAAAAAAAAGTATTTTATTATTATTTTCTAGCTAAAATTAATCAGAAAATAGACAATTTTAAGTGACCAAATAGGAGGAGAGGAGAAGAAGAAAATTAGAGAAGATAGAGAAGAGAAGAAGGGTCAAACAATACAAGCATCACTAGTCAACGGTTTATAAACCTCTCTTCTTCGTTTCTTCTCATTCACATCTTTCTCTTTCTCTCTCAAGGTACCTTTGTTGCAATCTCTCTGGGTACCTTTGTTGCAATTATTACCTCATGGCAGTAAGTTTCTTCAAAGTGTTCTCTTTCTCTCTCAAATTCTTCTTATTGTTTCGCTTCCGTGAATCTCTGAAACCTTTTTTTTTTTTAAAGGGCTTTAGAGAAAGCGAGTCTTATCTATTTCCCGATTGTTGCATTTATGGTTTCTTCCTTTGCGATTCTCCTCGGAAACATTTCATGAGATTGCCGATGTATGATTATTTGAACTGTGTGAATCTGATTTGCTAGATAAGAAAAGGGCTATGCTCAATTTCTTGAATCAGCTTGAAAGTTGCCATCTTTGTGGAGAATTTTCCATTTCGATCAGCGATTAAATGAAAAGTTTCGATTTTTAGTGATTAAGATCAGTCATGTGTTGTTGTTGTTGTTGCTATCTTGGTCTGTGACTGTGATGATTGTTATCTCAAAGCTATGGGACATTGTTTGTTGAACTGATTTGAATTGTGTTTGTGTTGTGGATGCAAACAGCGCTCGAATGTTCCCAAATTTGGAAACTGGGAAGGTGAGGAGAATGTTCCTTACACAGCTTACTTTGACAAAGCTCGTAAGGCTCGAGCTCCTCCTGGAGGCAAAGTAACGAACCCGAACGACCCCGAATACAACTCGGATCCGCAGCCTCCTCCTTCCAAGACCAGGCCTGAGCAAGCTGAACCGGTTAGAAGATCACGTGAGCATATGAGAAGCCGGGAAGAGAGCGAGTTGAAGCAGTTTAGTGATGGTGGTGGCTCGTCAAACGAAGCTGCTAACAAAAGACAAGGAAGGGCTTCTCAGAACAATAGTTATGATAAGTCTCCGTTGCATAAGAATTCATATGATGGCACTGGAAGATCCAAGCCCAAACCCAACGTTAGAGCTGATGAAAGCGTAAGAATCTCGCAAAATGTCAAATTTGATATTTTTTTGGAGCTCTCTGTTTGTTTGCATTCACTTGTTTTTAGAGAATGTCAGATTTTTGTTGTTGAAGCTGTTTGTTTGTTGCTTCTGTTTGTGTTCCATAGCTCTCTAATCACCGAATTTGGCGCCACTGTGAAGTCTGTGATCTTCTTTGAAGCTCTATGTTTGTTTGCATCACTTGTTTCAGAGAATGCCAGATTCTTGTTTGAAGCTCCCTGTTTCTTTGCATCACTTGTTTTTGAGAATGTCAGTTTTTTTTTGTTGAAGCAGTCTGTTTCTTGCTTCTGTTTGTGTTCCACAGCTCTCTAATCACCGAATTTAGCGCCACTGTGATCTTCTTTATAGCTCGGTGTTTGCTTGCATCACTTGTTTCATATAATGTCTGATTCTTGGTTGCAGCTCTCTGTTACATGCTTACGTCTGTGTTCCATAGCTCTCTACTAATCACGAATCTTCGACACCATTGTGATCTTCTTTGAAACTATATGTTTGTTTGCATTCACTTGTTTCAGAGAATGCCAGATTCTTCTGTACGTGTTCCATAGTTCTCTAATCACCAAATTTTCGACACCAGTATGATCTTATTTGAAGCTCTCTCTGTTTGTTTGCATCACTAGTTTCAGAGAACGTCAGGATCTTGATTAAAGCTCTCTGTTTCTTGCTTTCTGTCTGTGTTCCATAGCTCTCTAGTCACCCAATTTCGGCGCCAATGTGATCTTCTTTGAAGCTCTCCTGTTTGTTTGCATCATTAGTTTCAGAGAATGTCAGCTTCTTGGTTGAATCTAGCTGTTTCTTGCTTATGTCTCTGTTCCATAGCTCTCTAATCACCGAAATTTTGGCACCATTGTGACCTTCTTTGAAGCTCTCTGTATGTTTGCATTCACTTGTTTCAGAGAATGTCAGATTCTTGATTGAAGCTCTCTGTTTCTTGTTTATGTCTCTGTTCCATAGTTCTCTATCTTAACCATCTGAATCTTCTTTCGAACTGTTATATAGCCTGAAAAAGTGACGGTGGTGCCGAAATTCGGAGACTGGGACGAGAATAACCCAGCTTCAGCGGATGGTTACACGCACATCTTCAACAAAGTCCGAGAAGAGAGGAGCTCCGGAGCAAATGTGAGTGGATCTTCAAGAACACCGACTCACACAAGCTCTCGTAGTAACCCTTCCAACACTTTCAAAGTAAGACATATACTTCAAACTCATTTGCTTCTTCTAAGTGAAAACATCTCTTTTACATTTTTTTTTTGAAACATTGTTTTGGCTTTCTGCAATTTCTTGTGACAGTGTTGCTGCTTTGGCTTTGGAGGAAAATGAAAGGAAACGTTTTGTTTCCGGAAGATTTGTATATAGATTATCGAGAAAATCAGTGTGTAATTTTATCGGTTTTTAATGGCAGACTCGTTCAAGCTTCTTTAGATGAATAAGGAGGCATCAGCCTCAGTTGCTTAAGATCTTATAGTATAAATGTATGTATATTTTGTAATTTTTCGTAATACACTTTTGGTGTTTTCATTACAGTTTTAGACCAGACCTGCTTGCAGATTCACTATATCCTGGTACGGCCTGACCAATTTGGTTAACCGATTTGATTCAAAACAAAGATACTTGGTTATCTCTATGGAGTAATCTCAAACTCAAAAACGGCTAAATTGACAAACTAAGATACTGTAAATCATAAAATGTGTTGTAAAGAGAGCTACGTTATAAAATGGAAAGAATAATTTGTAAAAAAAAATATGGTACATTTTTTTCTATAAATAGTTTGGGGCAATTCTCACTAATACACTTTTTTTTAAAATTTTGTGGACATAATTAAATGCGTGTTAAGAAACTTCCGCCCCCTAACATATTTAGAAATGAACTTCTGATATTACCCCTATTTAATAATTTATGAAATCTAAGAACCTTATATCTCGATCGTTATAGAAAATCCTAGATCTCGACCGCCGTAGAAGACAACAGCGGCGAAGCCGCCATATAAGACAACGGTGGCGAGGTCGCCATATAAGACAACGGCTGTCGTAGAAGACAACACATTTAAATCGTACAACAAACGGCAGATTGAAATCGTATAATTTACCTAGATCTCGACCGCCGTAGAAGAAGAACACTAGATCTCGACCGCCGTAGAAGACACCGCCGTAGAAGACAACGGATTTAAATCGTACAACAAACGGCAGATTGAAATCGTACAACTTACCTAAAATATAATTTCCAATTATTTCGATTTGATAATCACGGATTGAAATCGTGCAACAAACGGCGGCAATTGAAAATGTTCTTGAGTGAATTGAAATGTTTGTGAGTGAATTGGAATGTTTATGAGAGAATTGACATGTTTAAGAATTGAAATCGAAGAAGAAGATCGTGGAGGAAAATTTACAATTATTTCGGAATCTTTCCAATTATTTTAGAAGTGGTTCCTAATTTTTTTTAAAAAAACAAATAAGACCAAAAAAGGAATTCGTGGTTATCGAACCGATGACCTCATCTACTTCGTAGTAAAGCTCTAACCGCTATGACCGAATTATTTCGTTGGAAAACTGTAAGTAACTTCCTCTTTTATGCATATAAATACAAAAGAAAAACGTGTTGAGCAGTTTTAAAGTTGAGAAAACTGCTCAACACGATTCAGTTTCGCCATTTCGCTCTCGACCGTTCGGTTTCCAAGCGAATTGAAGACGAAGTCCTAAAATCTAATTTCTTTCTGGAACTACCGTTAATGGCGAAGAAGACATCGGCGACAGAGAAAAGCGACAGAGAAGGTGACAACTAAGATTCAGTAAGAAACTCTTGTCCCAAAACTTCTATCATCTCGATTTTTTGTGAGATTTAGGATAGGCTTTAGTTTCACCTTCAATTTTAACTTATCGAGGGGTTGGTTTACAGATTTGTGTAGTATAAACTTCAATTTCAATTTATGAAGGATCGTCGTAAGATTCATATCTCAAAAAACAATATTGTTGGTTTATGGCTCATCTATGTAATTTTAGGATTTGGATTTAGGAAACGCCTTCCAAAAACTTATATGTTTGGCTCTTCTTTTTTGCCTTATGATCGAGATTTAGGAGCACCTTCTAAAGTTTATTTTTCAACTGTCAAAAATGTGTTATTAGATTTGGTTATTGTGTGATTTTCGATTTTTGTTTCTTACAATCATTGATATTTTCCGTTTCTTTTCTTGTAGCAGTTTAAAATGGACATCACACTTCCTAAGCTCAAATACGCGATGGGGAAGGAACCCGTGAGTGGGTTCAAGGCCATAGATAAGTACTCGGACTTCAAGTACATCGCCAAGGTGAAGGAGATACTCGGACCTGAGCAATTTAAGAGAATCGAGGACTCTTTCTTGGGTCCGGTTTTGCAGTTCGGTTCGAGGAATCTATCTATGTCAGGGAAGACGATCTACACAATTCTGACCAAGACCCTGGAAACCAAGAAAGAAAAGGAGCTGTGGTTTCATTTTGGTGGACATCCTATGAGGTTTTCTATAAGATAATTTCATATGATCACGGGGCTGAAATGCACCGAATGGTTGCCTGCTATTGAGGAAGAGGTAAACCACTATGATTGGTCTTGATTGGAGGATGGACATTCACCCGACGACCTGATAGAACTCATGGCCGAAGCCGGAGAGGATGCTCATGATGAGAGGTTTTCTTTAGCTATGGTGCTGCTCATAGAGACAATTTTTCTTCATAGGTACTCCAAAGCTATGTTCCCAACATCCAATCTACAAAAAGCACAACACATGGATGTATTACTGAATCATCACTGGGGGATAGATGCTTATGAAATGCTGTTAAAATCAGTGAAGAAGACAGTGGAGAACAATCTAGAAAAGTCCAAGTACCCTCAGGACGGGTTCCCTGTTGCGCTTCACCTATGGATCTTGGAATCCGTACCCAAGCTTCAGTCAGATTTCTCTACCATTGATAAAACAGTCCCGCCCACAGCTTTTTTGTGTGTGAAATACCTTCACACAACATCTCCTCCTATCAAAACTGTTTTGAGCATAGAAGGAGAAAGTGATGTAAGTGTCACACAACATCTCCTCCTAACAAACACCGCTGAATGACGTGTGTGTATTTTTTGACTGTGCAGATGGATGTCGTACACATCCTTCCGAAAATACATGGTGACCTCGAAGACACCGTGTTTTTGCAAGACAAGGACGATGAAGATCTGCATTCGCTTGTGGATCTGTTGGAGAAGGGTTTCAGGCTGACACATGATCACTGGAAAAGAAAGATTGTGAAGAGAGATGATGCATTGCAATACATTGCATTGCAGTCATATCGCTATCCCCATTCAGAAAGAGCGAGCCAAAACTCCAGACCAACTTCTTCAGACGAGTCAGTAGAGGCGAAGCTTGACCAGCTCGAGAAGATATTCATAGATGGACAGAGACATATCCATTCTCGGTTATCAAAGATCGAGCAAAAGCTTGGCATATATGATCCTTCAGATTCCATTGATGAGGTATTGATTGAAAAATATATATATGTTTGTTAGAGATAGTTCTTTAATAAATTTTCTAACATCACGCTGTTATCTGTTTTTTCCTTGAAGGAGGATATATCTGATCACATCTCGCCTCCTGTGCACCAAGGAACTGGTGTATTCCCAATGGAGGTAGGACCTTAATAAAGACTGTCAATGGAAGTGATGTGGTTGAAACAACCAAAGAAACTGATAAGGTACTTAAACAATTTTTTGCCATCTACATTTGCTAAAATGTTTCGGGACTAATATGCTGTCATCTATTGTTTTGCAGATGAACGATGATGAGACAACTACGAGTGGCAAAGAACAGGAGGAAGCCCAAACACAGATGGAAAAGGATGACCAGATCCAACCAATGGAAGAGCAACAAACTGTTAGCTATTCTTGTTTATTTTTAGATTTCATTACTTTAGTAAGGTCTTCCTGAACATTTGTTAAAAGTTCCTAAACAAAGATGGACTTCCAGGTACAAACCCTGCCCGTGATATCGACATCCATGGAGATGGTTGGAGACAATGAACCCACGGAGATGGCCAATGATGATGGGAGCCAAGAAAAGGACGAAACAACAGTAAGAAAATCAGGATTCTTTTGCGTTTTGGTATTTTAGTAAGGTCTTCCTGAATTTTTGTTAGACCTTCCTAACCCAGAAAATATTGTGCTAGCAGGTACAAACCCCGCCCGTGGTTGCATCCACGGAGACGGTTGCAGACGCGGGGTAAACAGAAACTGACAATGATGATGGGAGCCAAGAAAAGGATGAAACTACACTAAGAAAAATGAGGATTCTTTTGCTTGGTATTTTAGTAAGGTCTTCCTGAACATTTGACAGACCTTCCTAACCCAAAAAAATATTGGGCTTCCAGGTACAAACCCCGCCCGTGGTTACATCCACGGAGATAGTTGTAGGCGCGGGACAAATAGAAATGGATAATGATGATGGGAGCCAAAAAAAGGATGAAGCTACAGTAATAAAATGAGAATTGTTTTGCGTTTTGGTATTTTAGTATGGTCTTCCTGAACATTTGTTAAACGTTTCTAACACAAAATGTTGGACGTCTAGGTGGTTTCCGCACTTGTCGGTCCTAGCGTTGTTTGAATGTTGCAGGAAGACGCAGTGACGTCTGCTTCGCCCACCACAGTAGAAGACATTGCGAAGGTAAAATTCATTTTCTAAAACTATTTTTCACCAAGTTTTTTGTGCTTATAACTAGTGAAAAACATCCACATACCCCGTTTTTACGAAAGCATGTCTTCTTATCAAAGGGTAAACCAGAGAAGGAGAAAGTAGAGAAGGCGAATCCAAGGAGGAGAAAGGGAAGAAGGCGAAATCCACGGAGTAGAAAGGGAAGAAGGAGAAATCCGAGGAGAAAGGGAAGAAGGAGAAAGCGAAGAAAAAGAAAGCAAAGAAAGAGCAGAATGAAGAGATAGAGAAAACATCTCTGCGAAGGAGCAAACGGTTCAAAAAAACGGATATGTGATATGCATATTCTGAACAAAAAAATAGAATGAATTCCGTTGGTGGTGTTAGTTTCCATTTGTAAAAATAATTAATGGTTACAACGGTGTTTTTAGATGTGTTGTTTGCAAACATTGATTTGAATACATGGTGTGTATCTTTGGTTTTTAAACAATATTGCTTTTGGTTTAGCAAATCAGTTGTACTTATTTCGGGCTTTGTATTTCATTCATTTCAAATTGATTTTCATAACAAAGTATTTTATGGTTGCTAGGGAAAAAGAAAAAGGTTTAGGAAGCCTTCCTAAATGAATATTCAAAAAAAGAAAAAGGTTTAGGAAGCCTTCCTAAATGAACTTAGGTAAAAGCAAATGATTTAGGAAGGCTTTCTAAATGAATATTCGAAAATAAATGGTTTAGAAAGGCTTCCTAAATGAAACTTGTGAAAAAGAAAATGATTTCGGAAGGCCTCCTTATTAAAACTTGGAAAGAGAAAATGATTCTGGTAGGCTTCCTAAATGAATATTCAAAAATTGTTTTGGTGATTTTAAAAGTTTTGGGTCGTAATCCTAAATTCCAGGAATAATGTAAGGGTCCCTTCTTCCCTCGATATTTATGAATCAATTGCAACACTTCGGAAAGGCTTCCTGAACAGTAAAACATAAAACAAAAAAGGTAGAATTAGACTCTAAGGTTGTGTCGAAGTGGAGGCACGTTTGTTTAATCGAAGAAGTACTAACCGCTGGGGCCGAATCGTTGTAGTTGTCCACCATTTCGAAATTATTTATTTACTTTTTAAAAAAGATTATAACAATTATTTACTTTTGGGAACCCTTCCTCATCGGCGATATCGAAGGTGATTTCCAGATAAAAATCTAATTTACAGCGGCGACAGCGATTTACAGTGAAAACACAGATTTTCAGTGACGGTGCATCGGCGAAGAAGACATCAATGACGGTGAACGCGACAACTAAAGATTCAGTAAGAAACTCCTGCCCCGAGAAACTTCTCTCATCTCGACGACTCACAAAAATCGATCACTTTCGATCTTGATTTACCACTTTTTGCGTGATTTAGGATAGGCTTTAGATTCTATTGTGGGGTTTGTTTATAGATTAGTGTAGAGAGAACCTTCAATTTCGAGTTATGAAGGGTTGTCCTAAGATTCAAATTGTGATATTTTTGTTTCCTTTGTGACACTTTTCGTTTCTACTGTGACATTCTTCTTCTCTTTTCTTGTAGCAGTTTAAAATGGACATCACAGTTCCTAAGCTCAAATACGCAATGGGGAAGGAACCTGTGAATGGGTTCAAGGCCATAGATAAGTACTCGGACTTCAAGTACATCGCCAAGGTGAAAGAGATACTCGGACCTGAGCAATTTAAGAGAATTGAGGACTCTTTCTTGGGTCCGGTTTTGCAGTTCGGTTCGAGGAATCTATCTATGTCAGGGAAGATGATGCACACAATTCTGACCAAGACCCTGGAAACCAAGAAAGAAAAGGAGCTGTGGTTTCATTTTGGTGGACATCCTATGAGGTTCTCTATAAGAGAATTCTATATGATCACGGGGCTGAAATGCACCGAATGGTTGCCTGCTGTTGAGAAAGAGACAAACCACTATGATTGGTCTCGATTGGAGGATGGACATTCACCCGACGACCTGATAGAACTCATGGTCGAAGCCGGAGAGGATGCTCATGATGAGAGGTTTTTTTTGGCTATGGTGCTGCTCATAGAGACAATTTTTCTTTATAGGTATTCGAAAGCTATGTTCCCAACATCCAGTCTACAAAAAGCGCAAAACATGGATGTATTGCTGAATCATCACTGGGGGATAGATGCTTATGAAATGCTGTTAAAATCAGTGAAGAAGACAGTGGAGAACAATCTAGAAAAGTCCAAGTACCCTCAGGACGGGTTCCCTGTTGCGCTTCACCTATGGATCTTGGAATCCGTACCCAAGCTTCAGTCGGCTTTCTCTACCATTGACAAAACAGTCCCGCCCACAGCTTTTTTTGTGTGTGAAATACCTTCACACAACATCTCCTCCTATCAAAACTGTTTTGAGCATAGACGGCGAAAGTGATGTAAGTGTCACACAACATCTCCTCCTAACAAACACCGCTGAATGACGTGTGTGTGTTTTTTGACTGTGCAGATGGATGTCGTACACATCCTTCCGAAAATACATGGTGACCTTGAAGACACCGTGTTTTTGCAAGACAAGGACGATGAAGATCTGCATTCGCTTGTGGATCTGTTGGAGAAGGTTTTCAGGCTGACACATGATCACTGGAAAAGAAAGATTGTGAAGAGAGACGATGCATTGCAATATATTGCATCGCAGTCATATCGCTATCCCCATTCAGAAAGAGCGAGACAAAACTCCAGACCACCTTCTTCAGACGAGTCAGTAAAGGCAAAGCATGACCAACTCAAGAAGATATTCATAGATGGACAGAGACATATCCATTCTCGGTTATCAAAGATCGAGCAAAAGCTTGGCATATATGATCCTTCAGATTCCATTGATGAGGTATTGATTGAAAAATATATATAAGTTTGTTAGAGATAGTTCTTTAATAAATTTTCTAACATCACGATGTTATCTGTTTTTTCCTTGAAGGAGGATATATCTGATCACGTCTCGCCTCCTGTGCACCAAGGAACTGGTGTATTCCCAATGGAGGTAGGACCATCGAGAACAAAGACTGTCAATAGAAGTGGTGTAGTTGAAACAACCAAAGAAACTGATAAGGTACTTAAACAATTTTTTGCCATCTACATTTACTAAAACGTTTCAAGACTAATATGTTGTCATCTATTATTTTGCAGATGAACGATGATGAGACAACTACGAGTAGCAAAGAATAGGAGGAAGCCCAAACAATATGGAAATGGATGAGAGGATCCAACCATTGGAGGAGCAACAAACTGTTAGCTATTCTTGTTTATTTTTAGATTTCATTACTTTAGTAAGGTTTTCCTGAACATTTGTTAAAAGTTCCTAAACAAAGATGGACTTCCAGGTACAAACGCCGCACGTGATATCGACATCCACGGAGACGGTTGGAGGCAATGAACCCACGAAAATGGCCAATGATGATGGGAGCCAAGAAAAGGACGAAACAACAGTAAGAAAATCAGGATACTATTGCGTTTTGGTATTTTAATAAGGTCTTCCTGAATTTTTGTTAGACCTTCCTAACCCAGAAAATATTGTGCTAGCAGGTACAAACCCCGCCCGTGGTTGCATCCACGGAGACGGTTGCAAACGCGGGGCAAACAGAAACTGACAATGGTGATGGGAGCCAAGAAAAGGTTGAAACTACAGTAAGAAAAATGAGGATTCTTTTGGTTGGTAGTTTAGTAAAGTCTTCCTGAACATGTGACAGACCTTCCTAACCCAAAAAATGTTGGGCTTCCAGGTACAAACCCTGCCCGTGGTTACATCCACAGAGACGGTTGTAGGCGCGGGACAAATAGAAATGGACAATGATGATGGGAGCCAAAAAAAAAAGTTGAAGCTACAGTAAGAAAATGAGAATTGTTTTGCGTTTTGGTATTTTAGTATGGTCCTCCTGAACATTTGTTAAACGTTCCTAACACAAAATGTTGGACGTCCAGGTGGTTTCCGCACTTGTCGGTCCTAGCGTTGCTCCTATAAAGGGAATTAGAGGCACGAGACCTAAAACATACTTGACGGAAGGTTCTTTAGTCGACGTATCATGTGAAGATAACAGGTGGTTCCTTGCTTTGGTTATAAATAGACAGCCTGCTCTAGGTCCCATCCACATCTATTATTTGAGGTACTTGAGTATTGATAAGTATGAGAATGTCCAAGAGATGCGGAACCATCCTACACCGCCTCAGCTGCTTCAGGAAGAACATGTCGCCAAAGTTTTAGAGGCTGGGCAAGTCAGTGAGGTTTACCACAATGACCACTGGTTTATAGGGTATGTGGAAGCGCCTAGCAAGGGTACATAGGTTTCTATCCACCTATATGATATTGACAAAACACAACTGGTAGACGTTAGGGACACGAGGATTTTTAGACAATGGGTGGATGAGGCGTGGGATCCTCCTGTGGATGTGGCTATCCAGGTACATCGTTTTTACTGTGATAAAACCCTGTATTCTTTAAATCAATATAAAAAGTTTAACTAAGTTGTTTGAATGTTGCAGGAAGACGCAGTGACGCCTGCTTCGCCCACCACAGTAGAAGACATTGCGAAGGTAAAATTCCTTTCCTAAAACTATTTTTCACCAAGTTTTTTGTGTTTATAACTAGTGAAAAACATTCACATACCCCGTTTTTACGAAAGCCTGTCTTCTTATCAAAGGGTAAACCGGAGAAGGAGAAAGTGGAGAAGGTGAAATCCAAGGAGGAGAAAGGTAAGAAGGCGAAATCCAAGGAGTAGAAAGGGAAGAAGGAGAAATCCAAGGAGGAGAAAGGGAAGAAGGAGAAAGCGAAGAAAAAGAAAGCGAAGAAAGAGCAGAATGAAGAGCTAGAGAAAACATCTCTAAGAAGGAGCAAACTGTTCAAAAAAATGGATAGGTGATATGCATATTCTGAACAAAAAAATAGAATGAATTCTGTTGGTGGTGTTAGTTGCCATTTGTAAAAAGAGTTGATGGTTACAACAGTGTTTTTAGATGTATTGTTTGCAAACATGGATTTGAATACATGGTGTGTATCTTTGATTTTTAAACAATATTGCTTTTGGTTTAGCAAATCAGTTGTACTTATTTCGGGCCTTGTATTTCATTCATTTCAAATTGATTTTCATGACAAAGTATTTTATGGTTGCTAGGGAAAAAGAAAAAGGTTTAGGAAGCCTTCCTAAATGAATATTCAAAAAAGAAAAAGGTTTAGGAAGCCTTCCTAAATGAACTTAGGTAAAAGCAAATGATTTAGGAAGGCTTTCTAAATGAATATACGAAAATAAATGGTTTAGGAAGGCTTCCTAGATGAAACTTGTAAAAAATAAAATTATTTCGGAAGGCCTCCTTATTAAAACTTGGAAAGAAAAAATGATTCTGGTAGGCTTCCTAAATGAATATTCAAAAACTGTTTTGGTGATTTTAAAAGTTTTGGACCGTAATCCTAAATTCCAGGAATAATGTTTGGGTTCCTTCTTCCCTCGATATTTAGGAATCAATTGCAACACTTCGGAAAGGCTTCCTGAACAGTAAAACATAAAACAAAAAAGGTAGAATTAGACTCTAAGGTTGTGTCGAAGTGGAGGCACATTTGTTTAATCGAAAAAGTACTAACCGCTGGGCCCGAATCGTTGTAGTTGTCCACCATTTCGAATTTATTTATTTACTTTTTAAAAAAGATTATAACAATTATTTACTTTTGGGAACCCTTCCTCATCGGCGATATCGAAGGTGATTTCCAGATAAAAACCTAATTTACAGCGGCGACGGCGATTTACAGTGAAAACACAGATTTTCAGTGACGGTGCATCGGTGAAGAAGACATCGACGACGGGGAACGCGACAACTAAAGATTCAGTAAGAAACTCCTGCCCCGAGAAACTTCTCTCATCTCGACGACTCACAAAAATCGATCTCTTTCGATCTTGATTTACCACTTTTTGCGTGATTTATGATAGGCTTTAGATTCTATTGTGGGGTTTGTTTATAGATTAGTATAGAGAGAACCTTCAATTTCGAGTTATGAAGGGTCGTCCTAAGATTCAAATTGTGAAATTTTTTGTTTCCTTTGTGACACTTTTCATTTCTACTGTGACATTCTTCTTCTCTTTTCTTGTAGCAGTTTAAAATGGACATCACACTTCCAAAGCTCAAATAAGCAATGGGGAAGGAACCTGTGAGTGCGTTCAAGGCCATAGATAAGTACTCGGACTTCAAGTACATCGCCAAGGTAAAGGAGATACTCGGACCTGAGCAATTTAAGAGAATCGAGGACTCTTTCTTGGGCCGGTTTTGCAGTTCGGTTCGAGGAATCTATCTATGTCAGGGAAGATGATCCACACAATTCTGACCAAGACCCTGGAAACCAAGAAAGAAAAGGAGCTGTGGTTTCATTTTGGTGGACATCCTATGAGGTTCTCTATAAGAGAATTCCATATGATCACGGGGCTGAAATGCACCGAATGGTTGCCTGCTATTGAGAAAGAGGCAAACCACTATGATTGGTCTCGATTGGAGGATGGACATTCACCTGACGACCTAATAGAACTCATGGTCGAAGCCGGTGAGGATGCTCATGATGAGAGGTTTTCTTTGGCTATGGTGCTGCTCATAGAGACAATTTTTCTTTATAGGTATTCGAAAGCTATGTTCCCAACATCCAATCTAGAAAAAGCGCAACACATGGATGTATTGCTGAATCATCACTGGGGGATAGATGCTTATGAAATGCTGTTAAAATCAGTGAAGAAGACAGTGGAGAACAATCTAGTAAAGTCCAAGTACCCTCAGGACGGGTTCCCTGTTGCGCTTCACCTATGGATCTTGGAATCTGTACTCAAGCTTCAGTCGGCTTTCTCTACCATTGACAAAACAGTCCCGCCCACAGCTTTTTTGTGTGTGAAATACCTTCACACAACATCTCCTCCTATCAAAACTGTTTTGAGCATAGACGGCGAAAGTGATGTAAGTGTCACACAACATCTCCTCCTAACAAACACCGCTGAATGACGTGTGTGTGTTTTTTGACTGTGCAGATGGATGCCGTACACATCCTTCCGAAAATACATGGTGACCTTGAAGACACTGTGTTTTTGCAAGACAAGGACGATGAAGATCTGCATTCGCTTGTGGATCTGTTGGAGAAGGGTTTCAGGCTGACACATGATCACTGGAAAAGAAAGATTGTGAAGAGAGACGATGCATTGCAATATATTGCATCGCAGTCATATCGCTATCCTCATTCAGAAAGAGCAAGACAAAACTCCAGACCACCTTCTTCAGACGAGTCAGTAAAGGCGAAGCAAGACCAACTCAAGAAGATATTCATAGATGGACAGATACATATCCATTCTCGGTTATCAAAGATCGAGCAAAAGCTTGGCATATATGATCCTTCAGATTCCATTAATGAGGTATTGATTGTAAAATATATATAAGTTTATTAGAGATAGTTCTTTAATAAATTTTCTAACATCACGCTGTTATCTGTTTTTTCCTTGAAGGAGGATATATCTGATCACGTCTCGCCTCCTGTGCACCAAGGAACTGGTGTATTCCCAATGGAGGTAGGACCTTCGAGAACAAAGATTGTCAATAGAAGTGGTGTGGTTGAAACAACCAAAGAAACTGATAAGGTACTTAAACAATTTTTTGCCATCTACATTTCATAAACGTTTCAGGACTAATATGCTGTCATATATTGTTTTGCAGATGAACGATGATTAGACAACTACGAGTAGCAAAGAACAGGAGGAAGCCCAAACACAGATGGAAAAGGATGAGAGGATCCAACCAATGGAGGAGCAACAAACTGTGAGCTATTCTTGTTTATTTTAGATTTCATTACTTTAGTAAGGTTTTCCTGAACATTTGTTAAAAGTTCCCAAACAAAGATGGACTTCCAGGTACAAACCCCGCCCGTGATATCGACATCCACGGAGACGGTTGGAGGCAATGAACCCACGGAGATGGCCAATGATGATGGGAGCCAAGAAAAGGACGAAACAACAGTAAGAAAATCAGGATTCTTTTGCGTTTTGTTATTTTAGTAAGGTCTTCCTGAATTTTTGTTAGACCTTCCTAACCTAGAAAATAATGTGCTAGCAGGTACAAACCCCGCCCCTGGTTGAATCCACGGAGACGGTTGCAGATGCGGGGCAAACAGAAACTGACATTGATGATGGGAGCCAAGAAAAGGATGAAACTACAGTAAGAAAAATGAGGATTCTTTTGCTTGGTATTTTAGTAAGGTCTTTCTGAACATTTGACAGACCTTCCTAACCCAAAAAATGTTGGGCTTCCAGGTACAAACCCCGCCTATGGTTACATCCATGGAGACGGTTGTAGGCACAGGATAAATAGAAATGGACAATGATGATGGGAGCCAAAAAAAGGATGAAGCTACAGTAAGAAAATGAGAATTGTTTTGCATTTTGGTATTTTAGTATGGTCCTCCTGAACATTTGTTAAACGTTCCTAACACAAAATGTTGGACGTCCAGGTGGTTTCCGCACTTGTCGGTCGTAGCGTTTCTCCTATAAAGGGAATTAGAGGCATGAGACCTAAAACATACTTGACGGAAGGTTCTTTAGTCGAAGTATCGTGTGAAGATAACAGGTGGTTCCCTGCTTCGGTTATAAATAGACAGCCTGCTCTAGGTCCCATCCGCATCTATTATTTGAGGTACTTGAGTATTGATAAGTATGAGAATGTCCAAGAGATGCGGATCCGTCCTACTCCGCCTCAGCTGCTTCAGGAAGAACATGTCGCCAAAGTTTTAGAGGCTGGGCAAGTCAGTGAGGTTTACCACAATGAGCACTGGTTCAGAGGGTATGTGGAAGCGCCTAGCGAGGGTACATAGGTTTCTATCCACCTATATGATATCGACAAAACACAACTGGTAGACGTTAGGGACACGAGGATTTTTAGACAATGGGTGGATGAGGCGTGGGATCCTTCTGTGGATGTGGCTATCCAGGTACATCGTTTTTACTGTGATAAAACCCTGTATTCTTTAAATCAATACAAAAAGTTTAACTAAGTTGTTTGAATGTTGCAGGAAGACGCAGTGACGCCTGCTTCGCCCACCACAGTAGAAGACATTGCGAAGGTAAAATTCCTTTCCTAAAACTATTTTTCACCAAGTTTTTTGTGTTTATAACTAGTGAAAAACATTCACATACCCCGTTTTTACGAAAGCATGTCTTCTTATCAAAGGGTAAACCGGAGAAGGAGAAAGTGGAGAAGGCGAAATCCAAGGAGGAGAAAGGGAAGAAGGCGAAATCCAAGGAGTAGAAAGGGAAGAAGGAGAAATCCAAGGAGGAGAAAGGGAAGAAGGAGAAAGCGAAGAAAAAGAAAGCAAAGAAAGAGCAGAATGAAGAGCTAGAGAAAACATCTCTAAGAAGGAGCAAACGGTTCAACAAAATGGATATGTGATATGCATATTCTGAACAAAAAAATAGAATGAATTCTGTTGGTGGTATTAGTTGCCATTTGTAATAATAGTTAATGGTTGCAACGGTGTTTTTAGATGTATTGTTTGCAAACATGGATTTGAATACATGGTGTGTATCTTTGGTTTTTAAACAATATTGCTTTTGGTTTAACAAATCAGTTGTACTTATTTCAGATCTTGTATTTCATTCATTTCAAATTGATTTTCATGACAGAGTATATTTATGGTTGCTAGAGAAAAAGAAAAAGGTTTAGGAAGCCTTCCTAAATGAATATACAAAAAAGAAAAAGGTTTAAGAAGCTTTCCTAAATGAACTTAGGTAAAAGCAAATGATTTAGGAAGGCTTCCTAAATGAATATTCGAAAAAAATGGTTTAAGAAGGCTTCCTAGATGAAACTTGTGAAAAAGAAAATGATTTCGGAAGGCCTCCTTCATAAAACTTGGAAAGAGAAAAGGATTCTGGTAGGCTTCCTAAATGAATATTCAAAAATTATTTTGGTGATTTTAAAAGTTTTGGACCGTAATACTAAATTCTAGGAATAATGTTTGGGTCCCTTCTTCCCTCGATATTTAGGAATCAATTGCAACATTTCGGAAAGGCTTTATGAACAGTAAAATATAAAACAAAAAGATAGAATTAGACTCTAAGGTTGTGTGGAACTAGAGACACGTTTGTTTAATCGAAGAAGTACTAACCGCTGGGGCCGAATCGTTGTAGTTGTCCATCAGTTCGAATTTATTTATTTATATTTTAAAAAAGATTATAACAATTATTTACTTTTGCGAACCCTTCCTCATCGGTGATATCGAAATTGATTTCCAGATAAAAACCTAATTTACAGCGGCGACGGCGATTTACATTGAAAACACAGATTTTCAGTGACGGTGCATCGGCGTAGAAGACATCGATGACGGTGAACGCGACAACTAAAGATTCAGTTAGAAACTCCTGCCCCGAGAAACTTCTCTCATCTCAACGACTCACAAAAATCGATCTCTTTCGATCTTGATTTACCACTTTTTGCGTGATTTAGGATAGGCTTTAGATTCTATTGTGGGGTTTGTTTATAGATTAGTGTAGAAAGAACTTTCAATTTCGAGTTATGAAGGGTCGTCCTATGATTCAAATTGTGACATTTTTTGTTTCTTTTGTGAGACTTTTCGTTTCTACTGTGACATTCTTCATCTCTTTTCTTGTAGCAGTTTAAAATGGACATCACACTTCCTAAGCTTAAATACGCGATGGAGAAGGAACCTGTGAGTGGGTTCAAGGCCATATATAAGTACTCGGATACTTGGACCTGAGCAATTTAAAAGAATCGAGGACTCTTTCTTGGGTCCGGTTTTGCAGTTCGGTTCGAGGAATCTATCTATGTCAGGGAAGATGATCCACACAATTCTGACCAAGACCCTGGAAACCAAGAAAGAAAAGGAGCTGTGGTTTCATTTTGGTGGAAATCCTATGAGGTTCTCTATAAGAGAATTCCATATGATCCTGGGGCTGAAATGCACCGAATGTTTGCCTGCTGTTGAGGAAGAGGCAAACCACTATGATTGGTCTCGATTGGAGGATGGACATTCACCCGACGACCTGATAGAACTCATGGTCGAAGCCGGAGAGGATGCTCATGATGAGAGGTTTTCTTTGGCTATGGTGCTGCTCATAGAGACAATTTTTCTTCATAGGTATTCGAAAGCTATGTTCCCAACATCCAATCTACAAAAAGTGCAACACATGGATGTATTTCTGAATCATCACTGGGGGATAGATGCTTACGAAATGCTGTTAAAATCAGTGAAGAAGACTGTAGAGAACAATATAGAAAAGTCCAAGTACCCTCTGGACGGGTTCCCTTTTGCGCTTCACCTATGGATCTTGGAATACGTACCCAAGCTTCAGTCTGCTTTCTCTACCATTGACAACACACTCCCGCCCACAGCTTTTTTATGTGTGAAATACCTTCACACAACATCTCCTCCCATCAAATCTGTTCTGAGCATAGAAGGAGAAAGCAATGTAAGCGTCATCCTTTACTACTCTGCTTATCTAAGATGGTGTTTAGGAAGGCTTTCCTAACAAAACATCGATGAATTACATGTCTTTTTTGACTCTGCAGGTGAGTGTGGTATACATCCTTCCAAAAATACATGGTGACCTCGAAGACACCGTGTTTTTGCAAGACAAAGACGATGAAAATCTGCATTCACTTGTGGATCTGTTGGACAAAGGTTTCGAGCTGACGCATGATCACTGGAGAAGAGGAGTTTTGAAGAGAGACGATGCATTGCAATACATTGCATCGCAGTCATATCGCTATCCCCATTCAGAAAGAGCGAGACAAAACTCCAGGCCTTCTTCTTCAGACGAATCAGTAGAGGCGAAGATTAACAAGCTGATGGAGATGTTCGTAGATGGACAGACACATATCCATTCTCGGTTATCAAAAATTGAACAAAAGCTGGGAATACATGATCCTTCTGATTCCATTGATGGGGTATTGAAAAACCATATATATGATTAGAGCTTGTTTTTTAATCAATATTCTAACAACAGGCTGTTATTGGTTTTTCGCTGAAGGAGCTTACTCCTGTGGACGTATCAACAGGTTTAAACGCCACTGGTTCGCGACGGAATGTTTCACTAAATCAGGTATGGATTTATTAGCCAGATAAGATACTGGATTATACCTAGGTACACGAAATTAGATATCCAGATTGCGTTTTATGAAAGCCTTCCACTGAATTTGGAATTATTCCAAAATTATACTTGAGAACAAATGTGTGGTGTTGACGTTATTGTGTGTTATTTTTTCAGATGAACCAAAATGTGGCAGAAAGGAGACGCAAATCACAGCGGGTGCCCCAGACACAGATAGGGAAGGACAAGGTGTCCATACCACTGGATCAAGAGAGACGCCAATCACAGCGAGGGCCCCAGGCACAGATGGGAAAGAATAAGACGTCCATACCACTGGACAAACAAACTGTTAGATTCTCTCTTGTTTCCCTTGAGATCAAAAGTTTTTAGAATGCGTTCATGAATCTATGATAAATGTTCCTAACACAAAATGTGGCGTTCCAGGTACATACATGTGGCAACTTCCACTGAAGCAGTTACAGGCGCTGGACAGAAAAAACTGGACAAAATTGAGGGAACGAAACAAAATGTTATATTTCAAGTTTCTTTAGCATATTTTAGGAAGGGTTTCCTCAACCTCTTGTTAAACGTTCCTAACACAAATGTTGGTTTCCCAGATAGTTTGCGGACTTGTGGCTGGTAAAGCTGCTCCTGCAAAGGGGATTACAGGCACGAGTCCTAAACCTTACTTGACGGAAGATGCTTTAGTCGAGGTATCAGGTGAAGATAACAAGTGGTTTCCTGATTCGTTGATAAATAGACAGCTAGGTCTAGGTCCTATCCGCACCTATTATTTGAAGTTCTTGAGCCTTGGTAAGTATAAAAATGTCCAAGAGATGCGGATCCGTCCTACGCCGCCTCCTCTGCCTGAGGCAGATTATTCCACCGACGTTTTGGCACTCACGCAAGACGTTGATGCCTACCACGATAACCACTGGTGCAGAGGGTATGTTCAAGCGCTTCTTGATGGTCCAGAAGTTTGTATCCACCTTCATCATGTCGAAAAAACCTTAAGTTCCAAATTGGTGACGTAAGGATTCATAGAGACTGTGTATGTGGATTTACAGGTACATCATTAATACTTTGGCAAAACCTTGTATTCTCCAGAACAGTTCAAAAAAATTTACCTAATTTGTAATTACACTGCAGAAAAACGCAGAGACGTCTGCTTTGCCCACCAGAGTTGAAAACATTTCAGAGGAAATCCGTGATCAGGCAAACGTAAATGATCAGGTATTAATATCATTTTGCGTCATTCTTATTATTGTAGAAAACCTTATTTCCAAAAACAACTAACCAGTTGTTTTTGATATTTGTTGAAGGAACTTAAGGAGGATTCTCCAGACGAGGTATATTTTTACGGTTTTTGTTTTTCGTTTGTGTGGTGTAACGAAATATGCTTCCTATTTGCTTTTTACATATGTATACAACTATTGTTTCCAGATAATCCGAAGTGTCATAAGTGCTTACACCGTATCAGAAAACGATGATGGAAACGATGGAGTAATAAAGAAAACATTTTCTTTTGCGCTTGGTAAAAAAACATTTCATGCCTAAGAAAATTGCTATATGATCTTTTGCAGATGAATGAAAATGAGACCCAAACAAAGGAGCTAAAAACTGTAAGATTTATGGTTTCTTTACTACTATTAGGAAGGTTTTCCTAAACTTTTGCTAAAATGCTCCCGGCAATTTATCATCATTTGTATGATGCAAAAAGCAGAAAAAGACAGTGAAGAGGCCCCATAATGAAGATGATCTTCTGGCTAATAAGAAGAAGAAGAAGGGTGAGGAGAAGTCAGAAAAGTCTAAGAAGGAGAGCGCACAGGTGGCCGAACAATGTACAGCTACAGTAGATCCATTTCAATCGCCGAAAACGGATCAGTTGACAGCCTATAAAGAGTGGTTGGAGAAGGGAGAGACAGCAAGGTTAGTATATATCAAAAACATAACAAGTTGGTGATATAAAATAGTTTTGTAACGTAAATGTCTTGATGATATCTAATAAAAACACAGAATTGGTGATATGGATGCTACTGCAACCTTGTTCCAGAATATGGAGAATCCCGAAGCTCGTTTTCGTGATACGGTAAGAAGGAAGTAGTCATGGAATACTTGTATTCTTCTTTCTCGGATTGACGGCAGAACATTATTGGTTACTCTGACTCCATGATCTTGCAGGAAATAAATGCAGTGTTGATAATGTTGCAAAAGAAAAGAGAGGAAGATGACGCATATTTCAATAACGACAAATTCCCTAGAGCTGCATTCTGCAAAACAGACTTCTTTTATGAGCTGTTACAATGCCACGACAAATTCGAGAGGTATCGAACAAAATTACCATTCCCTGATAGTGTTACAAACATTGTAAAGGGGACAGTTTTCCCGCACAAGAAGTGGAAGAAAGATGTAGATGTCGTCTATGGAGTCATTAAATTCATGGTTCCCTACTGGATTGGAGTGGAAATTAATTTTAAGAGCTGCCAAGTGGAGAGTTTCTCGTGCAATAGTCAATGGGAGAAGAAAGGAGTAGTCTTGGATATTGTTAGGAGGATAGCAGGTACACTTTTCCTTTTAACTATATGTGAGATGATTCGGGAAAACATTAGTCAGAGTTGGGCGGGGCGTTCTTAAAACATGATTCCTGTTAATGAAAACTTATTCATAATTGTTGCAGATATGATACCTACCCTCCTCGGCATTGCTGAGAACAAAAAGCCAAAGAGACATCTGGAACCATTCAAAGTCGTCCATCACACTGAAGAAGAGTTTTCCTTGTCCAATATAGGTTTCTGGGTGACTGACTGTCCCGTGTATATCATCAAGATGATCGAGTGTCGTTCATTGGGGGGCAATGACTTCTCAAAGGTTGCTCATATGAGTGTTGCGGACATGAAGACCAAATATGTATGCGACATCTTTGAGCAGTTTGTGAACAACAAGTAGGACCTAGGATACCATTGTTAGTAGTTTTAGTATGCATTTTGAACATGGTTAATGTTTTTTCTTTTCCCGGATCTAAAACTAAAACTTATGACATTATCTGTTTAGTAAAAAGACTAATTATCTATAGACGTTGGATGAAGAAACAAGTTAATTTAACAAAATGATTTAGAAACCGGTTAGGCCGTTGACGGAAAGGAATCCTAAAAACAAAAACAAAAAATGAAGTAAAAAATTAGGTTACGTCACAGGAGATCGAACCGATGACCTCGTCAATTGACAATTGATGATTTAACCGCTATGAATGTGAAGGATAGTTGTCAATCTACAAGATCTTATTTATTTATACCCGCGTCAAGCGAAGTGTTTACATTTAGGAACCCTTCCTCACACAAAAACACGAACTTTTCTCTCTCTCGGCGATTAACAGAAAAACCCGAGAGTGCTCTTAAACCCGTGGAGAACAGCGACAACTCTCTTCGCTAGGATTCACACAAATTTTACACCTTTTTCGACGATTAACCAAAAACTGGTTCTCTCATCGCGATGATAAACGGAAAACCCCAACAGTTTCTCTCTTCGCGACAACTCTCTTCCCAAACCCACAGGTATCAAAGTTTTTTGGGTCATTGTGTATGCTAATTTTAAATTCATCACAGTTTTGATGTTTCAATTAAATCTGTTTCTCGAACTGAGATACAAATTTCCAACTCGCTGTTTTGATTATTTCGATTACATCATAGGAGAAAACAAAAATTCCAAAAAAATTGGGATGCTTAATTAATAGCTCAGGAAGGTCATCATGAAATCAAAACCTCTTTGGCAAACAACATAGATTTGACAGATTATGCAATGTTTGTGTCCGAAGTCTTGAATTTGATGACGAAAATTGTTCTTTACTTGTTGTCTGTGGCGTGTTAGGAACAACATGGAGGATTCACAGCCTTCTACGCTGATAGCACTCCCGAAGTTGCATTACGAATTTGGGAAAGAGCCTAGGAAGAATTTTAAGGCCATTGACCAACACTCGAAAACATCATTCATTAAACAAGTCGAAGAAATAATGGGGGAAGTGCAGTTTAACAGGATCAGGAATTCTTTTTTGGGGCCTCTTCTGAAATTGAGCTCAAAGAAGATGCTAATGTTAGAAAAAATGATCCATGTTTTCTTGACAAGGAGTTTAATAACGAAGAAGAACAATGAGCTTTGGTTCCACTTTGGATCGCATCCTTTGAGATTCTCAATAAGAGAGTTTCATATGGTCACTGGATTAAAGTGTTCCATTTGGACTCCTCAAGCTGCTCCAAAAGCAAGTGTTTATGATTGGGATGATTTGAAGGCAGAGTCTCACTGAACTGAAGACCTGATCGATAAGATGCTCAGGGCTGAAAAAGATGCTTATGATGAGAAGTTTTCCTTAGAGATGTTGGTGCTGATAGAGTCTTTGCTCTTTGGGAGATACAAGGAGTACAAGTTTCCGAGAAGTTTCATAGAGAGAGCGCAAGACATGAACACTCTGATGAACTATCATTGGGGGAGGGAAGCATATGAGTTGCTCTTGTCATCAATCAAGTCAAAGGTGCCTTCACATTTGGATAAAGTGAAGTATGTTCTTCAGGGTTACTCTTTTGCCTTCCACTTGTGGTTGCTAGAGTCGGTCCCTATGCTACAGACTGCCTTCTCAATAGTCAGCAACAGTATTTCGTCCTCTGCCTTCTTATGTGAGAAGTACCTTTACACAACATCTCCTTCAATAAACCAAGTTCTCACCATAGAAGGATCACCTGATATAAGTATTTCGTCTCTTATGTTAACATGATTTAGGATGCCTTCGTGATTTGTTTATGTTAACGTGGTTTACGATGTCTTCCTAAATGATACATAGATTTAGGATGCCTTCCTAGATGTTACATAGATTTAGGAAACCTTCCTAAAATGATACATAAATTTAGGAAGCCTCCTAAAATGAAACAAGGCGAAACGAAAATGATTTAGGATGCCTTCCTAAAATGATACAAGACGAAACGAAAATGATTTAGGATGCCTTCCTAAAAATGATACAAGGCGAAACGAAAATGATTTAGGAAGCCTTCCTAAAATGATACATAGATTTAGGAAGCCTTCCTAAAATGATCCAAGGCGAAACGAAAATGATTTAGGATGCCTTCCTAGATGTTACATAGATTTAGGAAGCCTTCCTAAAATGATACATAGATTTAGGAAGCCTTCCTAAAATGATACAAGGCGAAACAAAAATGATTTAGGATGCCTTCCTAAAAATCATAATAAACTTCTGTATATTTTTAACATTATTCCCATTTGTGTCTACAGATGAAGGTGATCTTCAAATTGCCTGCTATATCAGGTGATGCTGAGGACACAGTTTGCATGGAAGACCAAGATGATTCTGACCTTGAAGAACTTGCTGAAGTTCTTACAAGAGGCTACTCCCTGAGCTTAGGAGATTGGGTAAATAAAAAACTTGATCTAGTTGATGCGCTAGAGACAATTGGATTGAATTCTGTCATGGTTCATAATGCCAAGACTTTCGAAGCTTCAAGTTCGGCTTTTAATATGAAGGCAGAGATTCCATCTTCTTTGCATTCAATAATTATGGCAAAGCTGGACAGTATCTTCCTAATGGTTAAAGAAAATAACCTTAGGATCTTTGATCAATTGCATAAGATAGAAGAGAAGCTCGTAATAGATTGGGAAGATGAAGTTACCATAAGTTTCCCTATTTGTGTCAATGTTATGTTTGATTTTTAGCTAGATGTCAGACTTTGAATGTGAGATTTGACAAGTTGATTTTTAGCAGGAATCACCAGAGAACACCTGTCCACATGGGGAGTTCAGCAACGATTGTAGCTGACAATGTGGACTCAACTGAAGACGAAAACATGGATGATACACAGGTTGAAGATAGTCAACCAACACAGGAGATTCCCCAGGGTGCCACACAGGAGCTTCTCAATATAGAGATGATTGAATCTGAGGGAGAGCAAAAACAAGCCGGAAAAAGTCAACCAACAATACCTGAAGGGACACCAACACAAGAGACCCCCACAACACAAGAAATACCTGAAGCTGAGGGAGACCCAGGACAGGTACCAACACAAGAGATCTTTTTTACTGCTGAGGTAATAAGATTTGGATTTCTTTTGCATTTTCATGAGCTAGAAACATATATTAAATGTACCTAACCAAGTTGTGCATTTGACAGAGTGAAAAAGAGTTGGCAGATTCAAATTCGGAGGAACGGGATACTCAGCTGATACAGTCCCTTACTACCACAGAGCCAATCAATGACGAATATGTTACTCACAAGGTCAGATTCCAAAAACGCTTGGGAAGCTCTTCTGAAAAAATTGTGTTAATTTCCGGACTAATATGCTGTCATCTATTGTGTTTCAAATGAACGATGATGAGACAACTGAGAGTAGCAAAGAACAGGAGATAGCCCAAACACAGATGGAAAAGGACGAGAGGACCCAACCAATGGAGGAGCAACAAACTGTTAGCTATTCTTGTTTCTCTTGGATTTCATTACTTTAGTAAAGTCTTCCTGAACATGAGTTAATAGTTTCTAATAAAAAATCATGGACTTCCAGGTACAAACCCCGCTTGTGATATCGACATCCATGGAGACGCTTGAAGGCACTGAACCCGCGGAGATGGACAATGATGATGGGAGCCAAGAAAAAGATGAAACTACTGTAAGAAAATGAGGATTCTTTTGCGTTTTGTTATTTTAGTAATGTCTTCCTGAACATCTGTCAAACGTTCCTAACCCAAAAAATGTCGGGCTTCCAGGTACAAACCCCGCCCGTGGTTACATCCACGGAGATGGTTGCAGACGCGGGACAAACAGAAGTTGACAATGATGATGGGAGCCAAGAAATGGACGAAACTACAGTAAGAAAAGGAGGATTTTTTTGCGTTTTGATATTTTGGTAAGGTCTTCCTGAACATGAGTTAATAGTTCCTAACAAAAAATCATGGACTTCCAGGTACAAACCCCGCCTGTGATATCGACATTCATGGAGACGGTTGGAGGCACTGAACCCACGGAAGTTGACAATGATGATGGGAGTCAAGAAAAGGACGAAACTACAGTAAGAAAATGAGGATTATTTTGCGTTTTGATAATGTAGAAGGTCTTCCTGAACATTTGTCAAACTTTCCTAACCCAAAAAATGTTGGGCTTCCAGGTACAAACCCCGCCCGTGGTTACATCCACGGAGACGGTTGCAGGCGCGGGACAAACAGAAGTTGACAATGATGATGGGAGCCAAGAAAATGATGAAGCTACAGTAAGAAAATGAGGATTCTTTTGTGTTTTGATAATTTAGAAGGTCTTCCTGAACATCTGTCAAACCTTCTAACTGAAAAAAATATTGTGTTTCCAGGTACAAACCCCACCCGTGGTTACATCCACAGAGATGATTGCAGGTGCGGGACAAACAGAAGTTGACAATGATGATGGGAGCCAAGAAAAGGATGAAGCTACAGTAAGAAAAATCAGTATTGTTTTGCATTTTGATATTTTAGTAAGGTCTTCCTGAACATCTGCCAATTCTTCCAGAAAACATTTTAACATTCCATAAAAATCTGTATTTTTGCAGAATGTTAAGGGAACACATTCTATGGCTATTGTTTTATGGCAACCATCACCAAGCGGGTCGGGAAATCAGACGGATGAGGTTAGAATTTCTTAAAACAAAACAAAACCATTAGGCTTTTTATGAATTTCTTTGCATATTTTTAGATGACATCAAAGGACGTCGTAACAGTGATTCAAGATACCAAATGGATAAAAACAAATAGAAAAAGCTTCCGGGAAGGAAAGGAAAACTTGATATTAATTTAGGAAGGTTTTCCGGAAAAAGAAAGAAAAAAGTAACTTTTGCGCTTTGATAAAAAGTGTTTGTTGTAAACAATTTCACTTCGACAAAATATAATTTTAAACACTGCGAAGGTAAATTAGTCTGTTTTTAAGTGTTCAATCAAGGAACGTAACAGTGATTCAATATACCAAATGAAAAAAAAAACGATTAGAAAAAACTTCCGGGAAGGTAAGGAAAACTTGAAAGTACTTTAGGAAGGTTTTCCGGAAAAAAAGAAAAAAGTAATTTTTGTGCTTTGATAAAAACATGGAAATTTTCTTAACAATTTCATCTTCGTTAATCATATACTTACGCTCATTGATAAACTCTTTTTCACTTCCAAGTTACAAAAACAATTGTAAAAATTTAGAAACTGCGAGCTAACATTTTCGACAATGTTCTTTCTTACACAGTTATGATCCTATTCCTCAATTATTAAGAACACATCCTAAAATGTAAAAGTGTGAGAATTTTTTATTGAGTGAAAAATTTCATCCCACAATTTGATTAGCCATGCGCTAAATAATAAAGAATAAATAGATATTGCATTATATGTCAAAAGTACAACATCCATAGATATTGTCTTGGCACAATATACATAATAAACACATGTGGTTCAACATCAAGAAGCAAAAACATAAAAACGCTTGTGGTCTACATTGAAAAAGGTCTTTGGTTACTTAAGCATCCCTCATTACTTCAGTCTTCCACTTCCCTTCAATATCCGTAATCTCTTCTGCACCAGACAAATAGTGAAAACAATTCTTTTAGTTACATATTCAGTCAGCGAGAAAGTATATATAGGGAGAAGTGTTTGAAATTTTACACTTTCTTATATATGAAAACTGCATCATCAATTAGGTTAAACATGAATTCAGAGCATGGGAAATGAGAGCGCATGACAATCTTATTCTCGTCATTTCCTACAACAAATCAAAGCAATATTTCAAGACTTCCTAAATGACACTTGGAAAGAGAAAATGATTTTGGAAGACTTTCTAAAGGATTCTATCGTCTTAAAATGTTCAACCAATAAGGCAGAAACTACTCACCTTTACCCTCTGAAATTCTCCAAAAGTGTAGCATGCAAACATCACCATAGGAATTGTGTGCCATATACGCTTCGTGAAACTCTCTTGCAATGGCTCCAAGAGGAACACAGGTAATCGTAAATTCTCTCCTAAAATTAAAGAACACAGAGAATATTATTTCATAATAAAACTTCCTAAAAATCATGAACACGGGACATTTGACTTACTTTGAGTCCTCTATTTCGAAACGGAGGTTAGAAAAATCTTCTTCAAAAGCATCATTGGTATGATCTTCCAAAAAATCCATCCTCACGACAGTCCCCATTACGTCTGATTAAGATCCATAGAAAAATTTATATAAAAACAGAGCAGAACAAAAAAACTCTGAAATCGTAAAGTAATTTTTACCAATTAGGCTCCCGATCTTGTACACTTGGCGGTTGATATCCCTAAAACTAGGCCAGTGAAGCAATAGACTATCAGACTGAATCATGTGGTCAGCACTCTTGGCGCCCGTGTTACCGTGAAAAATCAGATGATAGTTAAATAATATAGGGCGCACGGCAGCAGAAGCATTCTCCACGTAGAAATTGTAGATGGTGTACCACTGATTTTGTCGAAAGTAGTTGGCAAACTTCAACATATCTCCTGGCATTACAGAGGCCGATATGTGCATTCCCTGAAAAAAAACATGACTGATTAAAAAAAAAAGTCGAAGTTTATCATCACCAAAAAATGAAGTAACGGAGAATAACCTGCTCGTCACAGATTATCATCTCCAAAGTTTCGCCAAGAAAGATTGGTTGTCTCCAAAGCCTAAGGATCTTAACGCAGTTGCTCCAATCACTCTCGTTTGTACGCAAGTCAGATATCGCATCGTGAGCAGATGGTGTTCTCATGGACAAGTGACGCAACATTGTACACTTTTGAAAATGGAAATTATAGGATGGGTTCTTCAAAATCTGAACACAGAGGATGTCTTATATATAGCAAAAGGTTTTTACCAGGAAACGACACGTTGCTACAATTTTAACCGTTTCGAAATATTACTATGAAACAACACGTCCCACGAAGGGATATGCAGTTATTCTAAAATAACTGTTTCGAAAACGAAGGGATATGCAGTTATTTGTAATAATAGAGTTTTCACAGTGTTAGGAAGTTATTAGACAAATTTAGGAAGAAGTAACATTAGTTTAGGAACGATTTCGTAAAGACAGATTTACAAAACCACAAACGGAGAAAAAATATTTTAACCATATAACGACACAATCCCCCTACTTTTACCACGAAATGACACGATCCCCCTGTTTGTACCACGAAACGACACATCCCACTAAGCTTATTAACTGTTTCACCGACATATTAAATTACCTAACGATGCAATTAGGTGTGTTCTATTATGTTAACATGATTTAGGAAGCCATCCTAAAAATAAACTTGGAAAATAGAATGATTTAGGAAGCCTTCCTAACTCATAACCAGCAAAAAGAGAAGCCTTCCTAACTTACAACACAGCAAAAAGAGAATGATTTAGGAAGCATTCCTAACTTATAACCAGCGAAAAGAATGATTTAGGAAGCCTTCCTAACTTATACCTAATATTTAGGAAGCCTTCGTAGATAAAACTTGGGTAAGAGAAATAATTGAGGAAGCCTTCCTAAGTTCTCTATTACGTTGTTAAAATTACAAAAGCTAGGAACATAGTTGAGAAACCAATGAAACAATCTGGAAAGCTTCTAAAAATAAAAGTTACGAACATCATCCCACCAAACATAAAATGGCTATGGAAGATCTTCCAAAAATAACTGGAAATCTTCCGAAAAACAATGTTGAACAAACGAATGTATAATCAATCTTTAGTTAGAATGTATAAGAAAGCTTCTGCATCTCTTGGACATTCCACAGTGGGAATCATATCTGATTCTTTCATGTGCTTTTGTTGTGTCCTCCTGTGCCACATCTGCTGCACTTGTGTCTTTGAGATTTAGAATTAGGGACCCCAAATTCTCCTGCAGCTCTCTTCCTCTTCTTTGGTGGCCTTCCACTGCTTAGCTTCGTGTTTGGTGGACAATGTAGGTAATCATACACATCATCAGGAAAGGAACACGTAGATAGATCACCACACGGATGTATGCTCTCAGCATAAACTTTAGACCATGTCTCATTGGTGTAGAAATCATCTACAAGCTTGTAGACATCCTTCCTTGTGCGTTTAGCAGCAGCTCCAGCATGCACGCAAGGGATCCTGTCTATGTTGAAGACGTTGCAACTGCAATGCTTATTCTTCAAATGCACAACATACTTGTGAGAGTCATCCTTTACCTCAAACTCGTTCTCATCCACTTGGTAGACATCCAATACCATTGCTTCATCGTAGAGTTCGGAAATTTTGTCTGTTACATTCTGTGTCGCATACTTGTCAAGCTTTTCAGCTTTTATCATGTGCTCGTGAAACCATGTGATAAAGGTAAGCCTTATAGTCTCAAGTAAGGAAATAACAGGCAATTCCCTTGGAGCGTTTAACATAGAATTCAGAGACTCTGTGATGTTTGTGGTCATAATGTTGTATCTATTAGCAGGTGCGTAGGATCTAGACCACTTAACAAAATCTGCAGCCTCCAAGTAGGTGGCAAGTGCTGGATTCCTGATCTTTAAATCAAAGAAAATCTGATTGAACTTGAATTTAGTGTAAGCATCCGCGGCAGCTTCCACCATAGGGATAAGACCTTTCTTCCCAAATTTAGCTTTGATGTTCCTCAGAAGATGAACTTTGCAAATACCATGATGGGCGAGGGGATATATTACTGACAGAGCTTTAGCAATGGATGGCGCCCTATCAGACACAAACACCAAGTCCTCTGCATCAGGGATCATTGACTTCAATCCTCTAAAAAACCAAGTCCAAGCATCTTCATTTTCGGAATCTACAATCCCAAAAGCTAAAGGATAGAGGTGGAAGTCTCCATGTTGGGCAGAAGCTCCTAGTAGAGTACTCTTGAACTTGCCTTTGAGGAATGTGCCATCTACAGCAATCACTCTCCTCATGTACTCAAAACCTCTCAAGGATTGACCAAATGCAACAAATGTATATTTGAACTTTCCCTCTGGATCTCTCTCTAGGAAACACTTTGATCCTGGATTGGTCTCTTGAACCTTACACAACCACTTAGATAAATTTAGGTAGCTTTCTTCAAGAGTTCCTCTGATCAAATTCTGAGCATGCTCTTTCGTCCTCCAAGCCTTCTTGTAATTAATTTGTGCCCCATGAGTCAAACTTACAAGTTCCATTATCTGTTTTGGCTTAATACCATCTTTCTTCTCTGAGTAAACACTGCATATCAAAGAACCAAGAATTTTCGAAGTTGCTTGCCTGTGGTTGGAGTTTCTATATGTTGTATCACAGCTATGTATCTCAACAAAGTGCTTCACCACAAAAAAAATCGGAATCAACAAGCTTGGTTGCCCTCATCTGCCAACTGCATTTCTCATCCACACAACGTAATATAGCCCTAGACTTGTCTGAATAACGAGTTCTGAATTCAAATTTCTTGTCAAGTGCATACTTCCTCATCTTCTGCATTAACTCTTCTTTACTCTTGAAATACTGGTTCACATGAATATCGTTGTTTCCTACAGTCGAATCTG